AGAAGATTTCTGATAATAGATCTGGGAAAAGGAAATTCTCAAATTCTTGGGAGTGAGAACCCAAGCTTGGCAGTATTTATCAAAGTTGTAAAGATTTGTTGTCTTTGGCCCAGAAGTCCTGTTTCGAGAGATTTGTCCCATGAAACTCATCTGGTACAAAAGTATTTGTGCAAGGATGGTTCATTGGAACATAGAAATAACATGGTAGGTGGCTTAGCACTGGACACACTGCCTTGCAGTCAGGGCTTTGCTAGGTCTTAGAGTTACACTGGTTTTTTGGTTTTTTTGTTTAAGATTTATTTATTTATGCATTCAAGAACTGAGATGTAGGCCACAAGTGTGGGGGTGGGGAGGTGAGAGGATTCACTAGAGACAGCGTGGGGAGCAGAACAGACAGACTAACTGAAATACACTGCTGAGGGGAGCAGCGGGTGAGACAGGAGAGGTCTGCCACGCCGTGTGGGTCAGCTCCCTGGCCAGAGACCGAACTCGTGCAGCAGCTGCAGTGGCTGCCCATAGCTTCATAGTGCTGAGACTTCACCCCTTGTGCTACCCTGGAGGCCCCTACCTTGGTTTTTGTAAAAATAAAATTTTATTGAATACATATTACAGTAATGTAAACTTTTTGTTAAAAATCAAAACATTCTGTGTTCCTTTGTCCAGCAGCACAAGTACTAAAATTGGAATGAGACAGAGAGGAGCATGACCCCAGAGTCAGTCCTATCATTTTATACTCAATGCATGAGTCTTCTGGTAGTTCCACATCCTCTCCACCTTTGCTGTGGTCAGCCTTGTAAATTTTAGCCATTTGCCTGAGTGTTACATTGTTTAATGACTGCATACCCATGGTGTGCCTGTGTACAGTTTGTTTACAAATTCTTTTTTTTGTTTGTTTTAAGATTTATTTATTTATGCATACAAGAGCTGGGGTGTAGACAGGAGAGGTCTGCACCATGTGGGTCAGCTCCCTGGCAGGGGATCCAGGGAGTGGCTACCAATAGCTTCATAGTGCTGAGATTTAACCCCTTGTGCCACCAGGGAGGCCCTGTTTACAAAATCTTGGGCCATTTTCTATTAATTTGTTATGTTTCCAATTCTTGCCTCCCCCCCACCCCGCCCCCGCATGACTCTGAAGCATCCTTGTAGGTATGTATTTCCTCATACCTTGGTGCTTTTCTTTCTAGTACATTCCCAAGAGGGGGATTCCTGAGTTAAAGGACCTGTATTTCTAATGTTCGATGTTCCAGATTGTTTTCCAAAAGTTGTAATACTTCACCTTCCTACCAGCAATGTAGAAGAGTTCCCTTTTCTACATGTCCATAACAGCAATCAGTGTGGTGGCAATTTTTTATTTTTATCAACCTAACAGAAATAAAATACCTCATTTTTAATTGTATTTCTCTACTTTGAGAACATCTTTTCATACTTCTATTCGTCCTCTGGATATGAACATTACATTTGAGTTGATTGTTACATTTTTCTAGTAGATTGTTCATTAGATTTTCTATTAGATTGTAGTCATTTTTCTATTATATTGTTCACTTAAATACCCAGGTGATTGGATGTGAGTTGGGTTTGGAGTCCAGGAACAGGACCCCAAGGGCCTCTCCGTCCTTGTCTCTGCAAGGAAAGAATTCAACATCAAGACCAGAGTTAGGCAGAAAAGAAAGATTTATTGTCAGATAAGGACAGGAAAGCTCCTTGGACAGAGCAGAGGGGTTGTGAGGGGCAAAGAAGCAGTGTTTAGATGAGCCAGGGCTGGGGCGCCTGGGCTTGTGGCCCCTGCTGATTGGTGGAGACCTGCTGGGTCTCCTTTTTTGGTTCTTTCTATTGTTTTCCCAGAATGAGCTTTTGCTCCAGGATTGTGTTTGTTTTCTGAACATCCAGTTTCTTGCCGAGTTGGGGCACCTTGACCCTGCCCAGCTGCCTGCGACCAGTCTCACTTCCTCATTCAGATGCATGATACAAAAGAATTCTTCAACGAGTAGCATTAGGTTCATGAGTTAAAAAAAAATTTTTTTTAAACATCCGTCACCTTAGTCCAGGGAGAGGTGGATTTGGGTCATGGTGACAAACATGAGGAATAATTTGACAAACGTTTAAATGGTAGAAGTTAGAAAGCAAGCAGAGTGGAGTTCTGCCTGCCCAAGTGCCCACACACATTTCCAAAAATTGAAGAACTTCACATTAAAAATTTTGATTGGGGTGTCTCTTAGGAGCCAGAATACCTGGACACCTCAGGCCTCCATTCCTTGCTGCCGGCATCTGTCTGGCATGACAGGGACTGGCCCCCCAGTTTGTTTGACTCGCCAAGAGCCCAGGTCTACTTTTCGGGCTTCTGCACACTTTTCTCACAACAGTCACGGGGGTGTGCACACCTCACACCACTGACTCAGCCTTGTGACTGCACAGAGCCCCAGGGGGCTGCAGGCGGCAGGGGTACCAGAGCAGCTGACGGCTATTTGCTTTTGAGTTGACTCCTGTTGGCTTTTGGGCTGTTTGCTTTTGGGTCAGTTTGTGCCTCAGCTCAGTGACCTTAGGACCTCTCAGCAGCTTATGAGCCTGACACCTGATTTTGAGACTTCCTCCTGGTTCTCCTCCCTCTCGTGGGGGTTCCGTCTGTGTTTTCTCATCCTCTCAGGGTTATCCTGGCCTCAGCTGCTCTCAGATCATGCACACGCCCTGCAGAGATCCCAAACATTTCACATTGCACTACCTACCTGAGGATTCTCGAATGTTAAACTCTTACCTTGACTTGGGCATGAGTTCTCACAGCTTGGGACTCATGGAGCCAGCTGCCTGGGGTCACGGAGATCCCCAGCCCAGCTTGTCCAGATCCAAATGTCGTGGACAGTCCCTCCAATCTCCTCCTGCTGTCTTTACCTCCTACCTCAGGAACAGTCTAGAAGCCACTCCATTGATTTGGGTATTGTCCTAGGCTCCTCCTACTTCCCACCCTCCAAACCCCCTCCTGTCAGTCACCAAATTCTGCTAATTTTACCTTCAAATAGGGTCCCATCTGGCCCCTCTACTTCTGTCCTTCCCACTGCCTCGTTCAGGCCCTTGTCTTTCAGCTGGACTCTTGCAATGGCCTTCTTCTAACTGGTCTCCCTGCCTACAGTCTTGCCTCCAGCAAATCCATGCTCCAATCCTGATGCCAGAGTGATCTGAAATGCAAATATGATCTTGCCACTTCCCCTGCTTAAATCCCACCACACAGCAGTGGTTCTGTAACCACCTTGTAGCCTCTGACAAAAGTAAGTTGGTGCTCCTCCGCCTGCTCCTCCTGCTACTGTTAGTACTACTGTTGCTACTAATGTGACTACTAATCATAGCAGCTAACATTTCCTGCGCATTTTCTGTTATGTTTTCAAATGACTTATCTCTTTAAAGCAACGCACAGCCAATTCAAACTTTTTCAATAGTGTCACTCTCATTTGCTTGGGATGAAGGAGAGGGGCAGAGTTTCAGGCAGAGGGCACCAGGGAAATGCCCAGCGCCATGAATAATCTTGCGCTAGTGAGTACCAGTGCTGATTTAGCCTCACCAGTGAACTAGGCTTACCATGGTTTTCGGGAACTAGGATTTGCTTTCACTCCCTCCAAAGCATCTGGGGTGGGGGGGTGGTGATTTGTCCATGAAGTATGTCACCCTGGGCACAACCGCTGGCTCCTGGGGGCCGGTAAAGGACGGCTGGGCACCATGGAGTGACATCCTGGCTTCTTGGCGTGGCATGCACGATGTGGGTAACCTGGTCCCTGCCCACCTCTGCTGCCTCCTGTCACTCCCTTCCTTGCACTTTCACTCGAGTACAACAGACTGTATGATACTAATCAGCGCACACCTTACGAGGTCTCCTATGTGCCAAGCACTGGGCTAAGTGGTTCACTGCGGTGTCCCTCTCATGCAGTCCTCACAGCCACTCCGCCAGGTAAGTCTCACTGTCCCCATCTGATCGAGGAGGAGAGCGAGGCTGTGAGAGGTGAGGCTGCCTCAGGTGACCCAGGTAGGGGTGCAGTGTTCCTCCACCCCCACTCCCACTTTGCGCTCCCTCTTGCGCCTGGAGACACCCCTTCCTTCTCGGGACTCCATTCTGACCCCAGCTCCTGGGGCAGCCTTTGAGGGACCTCCAACTGCCCCCAGATGGGGCTCAATACCCCTCCTTGACCTGCTGAGCTGCCCGCAAGCCTCTTGTACTAGGCGCCCAGCAGCAGCTGGAACGTCCATATTGGGTCTGTGCTTCTCGGGACGGGGTCTGGATCTCTTGCCTTTTTGAGGCCCCAGCATCTAGCGCAGTGCCTGGCACATAACAGGTCTCTGTAAGTGTTTGTTGAGTTGACTAAACTGAATTCCAGGCACTGATCCTTGAGGTAATTGTCCTTCTGACCAGTTTTCCCTGTCTTCACCTTCTCTAGGCACAAAGCCAAGCTATTTGATCTCTGGAGAAGGATCCTTTCCCTTCCTGCTGGTTCCACCTGCACCCTTTGACTTCGGGTGGAAATGCTGTCTGATCAGCCACCTTGCCCACACACCCTGGACACCTGTGCTCTCTCTGGCCCCCTCTCTCACTCCTCGCCATCAGGCTGGACCCCAGATCCGTCCCTCTGAATCAACTCACTTGGTTTCCCCTTCGCCTTAGATTTTTCCGCTGGGTTGTATCTTTTCCTGTCCCAAATAGATTCCCGCACCCAAATCTCTTCTTTCTTTCTCCTTCCTTAGTCTTCCAAGTCACAGCCCACGGCTAGACTCTTCTCCTCAGAAATGCGCAGTCCATGACCTGTTGTTTCAAACAGTTGTATTTAGTCTTGGGAAGTCCCATCACCTGCCCTTAAAACACTAAAAATGCCCTGCGGTCCCCAGCCTGAGTCTGTCCTGGGCCCTGTCCTGTCCCGGCAGGGCTGGCGCGTCCCGCGCAGGGCAGCCCCGGACCCGTGCCCGCATGCGCCCGTGCCCACGCTCCCTGCCTGCCCTCACCGCCCAGTCTCCTCTGCTTCCGGCAGCTTTCGGACCCCCATCCCTGGTTTCTCCTCCATGCTGTATGGAATGAAGATTGCAAATCTGGCCTACGTCACCAAGACTCGGGTCAGGTTCTTCAAACTCAGCCGGACTGAGGAGCAGGTACCAGAAGATACAAAAATGAAGCCAATGTCAGATATCAGCAAACAGCACAAGTCCCTGCTAGCCAAGATCTATTATGACAGGTGTGTGTGTGTTGGGGGGGGGGGCCAGGGTATGGGGGGAAGATATTTGGCTGAGGAAAGAGTGTTTCACCTCAGGTTGGGGTAAAGGCCGCCCCCTCCAAGGAGTGGGGGGAGCATGTTGGTTGGGGAAGGGGTGTTTCCTGGCATCTTGCCAGCCTCCCCAGCGTAAAACTTTACCCAGGGCAACCCCCAGTCAGGCCTTTCCTGCCCCAGCCCCCTCCTTAACTCCCCATTCTCCACAGGGATGAGTATCTTCATGGGAAACATGGGGTGAACGTGGAGGTCCAAGGCAACCATGAAGCCAAAGATGGGCAGGTCCTTATTCATCTGGATTTGAACTGCAAGGAGGTGCTAACCCTGAGCCTTCAGAATGGAGGGACCCAACCTGTCACACTGACCCATGTCCTCCCGTTCTGCCGGTCTCCCCAGTTTGTCTTCTCTGATGGAGACAAGGAACTGCCCTGCCGACTGGGGCCTGGTGAGTGGGCTTCCAAAAGAAGGCGCTTCTAGTGGGCAGGAGCTTCCAAGAAGGGCTGGTGTTGGGGGGTCGGCTGCTGCCTTAGGATGGTGTATTTTGGGGCATGTCTAGGTAGGGATGCTGGTGTTGCATGTCCCCTCCCCACTCACGCTGCCATCTTACTCCAGGTGAATGCTATGAGCTCCGCGCCCAATGCGAGACCACCTTTGTGGGCTATTTCCCAGCCACTGTGCTTTGGGAGCTGCTGGCGCCTAGCAAGACGGGTTCAGAAAAAGCTGGCACTTTCTACATTGCCCGCTTCTTGGCTGCTGTCACTTACAGTCCCCTGGCTGCACAATTGAAGCCCACAACTCCCTTCAAGCAGACCCCGGTCACTAGAAACCCATTAGTGACCAGCCGGGTAGAAGAAGGACAGAAACCTGACCGGTAACTCCTCCCTCCAAAACAGGCCAGTTGTGCATGCCCCAGCTGACACAGAGTGAATCCTTGGGGAGATCCAAACCTGGGGTCATTGCGCCTTTCCTGATTTGCAGTTCACTCCTCCGGGCCTCAGACCTCTCTGTCTAGGAAGAATATTGCAAATGAGCAGCAGCTATGAGGACAATGTGAAAAAATTTTACACTGATAAAGCAATAGATTATCAAGCAGTCCATACTACTTAGCTGTCTTTTCCTTTTGAATGGCTTTGATATAATTCACATACTATACAATTTACCTCTTTAAATTTAGTACTTCTGATCTATTCGTAGTTATGGGCTAGTCCAGTTTAGAATGTGCACATTACCCCAAAAAAGAACCTCTGCCCTGGAGCCTCCAAGTTCCCTCCAGCACTAACCAACCACTTGTCAGCTTCCTGTCTCTATAGAGCTCCCTATTCTGGACATTTCATATGAATCAAATCATGTAAGTGGGGACATCTCCTTGGCACAGCCAGCTTGTGCACATCTCCTGTGCACAGCCTTGGCACAGTTTGTACAAAAGCAAACTGTTGTGCTTATTGTTTAAAACACATGTGTAGAGTGGAAACTGACCAAAATGTCTGGAATGCTGTCTACCAATGTTGGTTATTACTAGGTAGATGGCCAGAACATTATTTATTTATTACCTATTTTTTTTTAAGATTTATTTAGTTATGCGTATAAGAACTGGGCTGTAAGCCAGAGGTGCAGGGGGTGAGAGGATTCACCAGAGAGTGGGGAACAGAACAGGCAGATCTACCGAAATACACTGCTGAGGGGAGCAGCCAGCGAGACAGGAGAGGTCTGCTGCACTGTGTGGGTAGCTCTTGCTGTAGGGCCTGGGATGGGGATCAAACTCTTGCTGTAGGGCTGGCAGTAGCTTGATAGCACTGTCTTTAACCCCTGTACCACCAGGGAGGCCCTCTATTACCTATTTTCTGATTTTTTTTTTCTTAATGAACATGCATTACAGACATATGTGTTTGTATATGTTTTTAACATTTCAAGTAGTGTTCCTTCCAAAAATGAGCTGGCTGGTTCTGCATCCTTGGGGTAATCCCTTGAGCAATGGTGTTCTGGGACTTTGCATGCCCTCCAGGGAGGGGCCTTTTCAGCATATTTGAAGGTGAGAGGTCCCTAGTTTGTGACTACTCTTCTTCCCCCTCCTGCAGTGCAGAGGGGTATGACCTGGAAATGATTGTGCCACTGGGGCGCTACTCCCCACCGAATCGCCTCCGGCAGCACTTCCCTGCCCTCCAGAAAGCAAACGTCTTCACTGCACCAAAGGAAATTGCTGAGATCAAGTAAGTCCCACCCCTGTACCCCTCGTGCTGCTTCCTGTTTCTTCCCTGGTGGCTTCTTCCTCTTGCCCTCAGAGCTCTGTTCTCAGCTTCCATGTCCTTCCTTCCCTTACGGAGCACGCACTGTCCACTGTTCACGGTGAATCAGTCACATGGGAGCGCGGCCCGTTCTAGTGCCAGGGGGCATTAGCAGGAGACAGTGAGCAGTTAGTTATTGCTTCAGAAACGTTTCTCTTAAAACTTTATGTAGGGATGAGTGTGATGAAGAACTAAACTAAAACTAACAGGTCAAAGGGTGGCTTGGTGTCTTTTTGCCAAGGGTGGTTAGTCCAGGCTTCAGGAGGGGGTGGCATTTGAGCAAACAATGACATTTGAATAAGGTGAGGGTATGAGTCATAGGAGGATGTGCGCGGGGGAGAATGTTCCAGGTCCTCCGATCCTTAACGCAACCAATGCTCAGTCAGTCCTGAGGGTTGGGGGAAGGGGTGTCCGAGCCAACCAGGGCCAGGCCTCCCTCCTTTGAGGCTCTCATCCCCATCTGCTTCTCTGTCCTTCTAGTCTTCCCTGATTCCTGATGCTTTCATAGTCCCAGAGCTGCACAAGGGATGAGGGGGACCTGCTCCTGGGCACGGGGGTTGCTTGACCTGTCCTGCCCCGCACTCACCTCTAACAATCACTGCCAGGGCCCAGTTGGAGAAAGCCCTGGAGCAGAGGAACTACAAGACGAAGTTCCAGCTCCTGCTGCACCTGGAGGAGCTGCAGATGGAGCATGACATCCGGCAGTATGACCTGGAGTCAGTGCTCATGACCCAGGACCCCACGGACCGCAATTCCAACCTGCTCACTCTGCAGGTCAGGGCTCAAACCCGTTGTTGGCAGGGTGGGCTCAAGTCCTCTTGACCAACCAGTCAACCAGCAGGCACATCCTGACGGCAGGGCAAACAAGAGGAAGGACGCCCTGGAGGAGTCAGCAAGGACCATGCTGGGCATCCTGTGCTCTGAAACGGATATTAGAGCAGGGCCGGTGGGGAGTGGACCCGGGTTTTAGTTCATAACGTGCTCTCTCCCGGCTGCGTGGTCTTGGGCAAGCCCCTCGCGCTCTCTGGCCTTCGTTCCCTCATCTGAAAGCACAGGGCTGGACTAATCTTTTTTTCCCAGCTCTTCAGATGTTGAATCTGTGCACATAAGTCCAGAAATACAGGTGGGAATGGATCTTGTGCACAAATTGTGAGGCGGGGCCAGCTGAAAGGGAGGGATGGGGTATATCAGGGAAAGATGCCTGTGGAACTGCGTTTCGAGCAAGATTTTATTATTTTCACTTTATTTTTTTTAAGATTTATTTATTTATGCATACAAGAACTGGGGTACAGGCTAGAAGTGCAGGGGTGGAAGGATTCACCAGAGACACAGTGGGGAGCAGAACAGGCAGACCGACTGAAACACACTGCTGAGGGGAGCAGCGGGCGAGACAGGAGAGGTCTGTTGCGCCATGTGGGTAGCTCCCTGGCTGGGGATTGAATTCTCACTGCAGTGGCTGCCAATCGCTTTATAATTGCTGAGACCTAACCCCTTGTGTCACCAGGGAGGCCCCTCGCGCACAATTTTAAAGGCAGAGAAGGAAATGACCTGGCCAAGAGGGTCTGGGAGCTATGTCTCAAGTCCTGAAATCCTGCACCCAGGAGGGTTTCCGGGACTCCTGAGCTCAGCATCTCTGAGTTAGAGCAAGGCTTGTCCCCTTCCTGGTTCCCTGATTCCCTGTCTTGCAGGAGAGGAAAGCAGCAACCCCTCCCCAACCCCCCCCACCCCCGCCAGAGTATTGGGGTGGAAGCCTCAGTCCTTGACCCTCAGAGGCAGCCTGGGTGTTGGTCCTCCAGTGCCCTGCCTGGGATTGGGAGCTTGTTTGTGTTTGTGCCCTGCAGGTCCCCGGGGTGGCCGAGAGCCGCCCCTCAGTACTGCGGGGTGACCACCTGTTTGCCCGTCTGACCTCTGAGATACACCAGGAGAACTCCATCACCTATAAGGGTTTTGTGCATAGGGTGGAGTTGGACCGTGTCAAGCTGAGCTTTTCCATGAGGTGGGTGTTCTGGGCCCCCCGAGGACCTGAGTCTACTGAGGGCCTCTGAAACCAGGGGTCGGGGGTGTTTCTCCATGAGCTAGGTGGGACTTCCAGGATGGAGCAGGAAACTTTCGAGGGGGACTCTGGGGTGCCTTAGCAGCTTCTTCTCCTGGAGGACTTTGCATGGAGGTTTTGGAAAGTAGGGGTAGAGCCTGGGTAAGTGGAGGGAAAATGCCTGATTTAGTTCAATTGCTCACCCTGTGACTGGAACTCTTTCCCCTCTTTTCTTTCCCAAAGCCTCCTGAACCGCTTTGTGGACGGACTGACCTTCAATGTGAACTTCACCTTCAACCGCCAGCCCCTGCAGGTGCAGCACCGCGCCCTAGAGCTGGCCGGACACGGGTCGCTGTGGCCCACACTCTTTCCTTCGACTGCCTGTGGGGTCCCGCTGATGCCCTCAGATGTGGAACTCAAGTGAGACTGTGGACAGGGGCCTCTGGGGCTGCTCGGAGTGTGGGTTTATGGGATGGGGTCAGGGAGGCCTCCATCCACCTGGGTGATGCCATGTCCGTGGCCCCTCTGCAGGCTGTACGACAGGAGTCTGGAGTCAAACCCTGAGCAGATGCAGGCTTTGAAGCACATTGTAATGGGCACCACCCGCCCAGCCCCCTACATCATCTTTGGGCCTCCAGGCACTGGCAAGACCGTTACCTTAGTGGAAGCCATCAAGCAGGTAGGGCCTGAACCGAGGCCAAGGCCCGCATGCTGACGCCCCCAGGCCAAAGTAGAGGGACCCAGAATCTGGGTCCCTCCGGCTCCCCGAGTGTCTTCCCTGGAGCTGGCGTCCAGGGTCAGCGTGGTGTTGAGCACCGTAGGGCAGGCTGGGTTGATGGGGTGCTTGGGGTCACCACTCATCTTGCAGTCACCAGAGGCTTGGTGCATTTACCTGCAGCAGGTGTCCGGCATGAAAATGCTACTAGAACTAGCAGGGCTGGCATCAGAACCTGCCGCTTGCGCCACACCACACCAGCCTGAGTCACATCTGAGTCCGCTCCCTGTCCCCTCCCGCTGGAGACCTGGAAGCTGCCTCCCACACTTGCTTGTCTCTACTGATCCCAGGTGGTAAAGCTCTTGCCCCAGGCCCACATCCTGGCCTGTGCCCCGTCCAACTCGGGTGCTGACCTCCTCTGCCAGCGGCTCCAGAACCACCTGCCCAGGTCCATCTACCGCCTCATCGCCCCCAGCAGGGACATCCGCTTCGTGCCCGAGGACATCAAGGTACCTGGGGAGTGCGGAGCACCAAGGGGTAGTGGACGCTGGGGCCGGGAAGCTAGGAGACCTGGATTCTGACACACTCTATGGCCTTGGGGTAGGTCAGGGCCCCAACCTGGGCTTCGGTTTCCCTGTGTGTAAAGCAGAGAGAAGTGAATCAATTGCCTCGGGGGACCCAGAGGGTGAGATTGGTGGGGAGACAGGTTCCTCCTTTCCCTTCACAGCCCTGCTGCAACTGGGATGCACAGAAGGGGGTTTATTTGTTTCCTGCCAAGAAGAAGCTGCAGGAATATCGTGTCTTAATTACCACCCTCATCACTGCCAGCAGGTAGGAAGTGTGTGTGTGTGTGTGTGTGTGTGTGTGTGTGTGTGTGTGTCTGCATGTGTCTGCGTGTTTGTATGTGTCTGCATCTGCGTAGAGGTGTAGAGGTAGCAAACTGGGGAGATGGGGAGGAATAGTGCTGGGGCGCAGGGTGGGGAGAGAAGGGGTAAGCTTGGATGAGCAAGATGCCTGGGTATGACCCCCACCTGGCACCCCCAACCTCCCTCCCCCCGCCCCCGACACCTCCCAGGTTGGTCTCGGCCAGTTTTCCCATCGGTCATTTCACACACATCTTCATTGATGAGGCTGGCCAATCCGTGGAGTCCGAGAGTCTGGTGGCCATAGCAGGTGAGGGGGTATGGGGTATGCCACCCTGCCTGGGATTGGGGAGGCCCCACCCCTGGCCTGTCTCCCCATGTTACCCTGCCTCTCAGGGCTGATGGAAGTCAAGGAATCGGGCAATCCAGGAGGGCAGCTGGTGCTGGCGGGTGACCCTCGGCAGCTGGGGCCTGTGCTGCGTTCCCCGCTGACTCTGAGGCACGGGCTTGGTTACTCACTGCTGGACAGGCTGCTCACCACTAACAACCTGTACAAGAAGGAACCTGATGGCTATAATTCCCAGTTCATAACTAAGCTGCTACGAAACTACAGGTATTCCTCCTGCTCCCTCCCCTTTCCTGCAGCCCCTGTCTGCACACCCTCTGTGCAGCCCCTCCTGACTGTCCTGTCCTGCCATCTGGTTGCTCAGAGGCTATGTTGGTGGGAAGACTTTTTTTTTTAAGATTTATTTATTTATGTGTACAAGAACTGGGGTACAGGCCAGAAGTGTGTGGGGGGTGGTGGTGAGAGGATTTACCAGAGACGGAGTGGGGAACAGAACAGGCAGATCTACTGAAATACACTGCTGAGGGGAGCAGCGGGTGAGACAGGAGAGGTCTGCTGTGCCATGTGGGTAGCTCCCTGGCCGGGGATCGAACTCGTGCTGCAGTGGCTGTGGACAGCTTCATAGGTTGCGTCTTAACCCCTTGTGTCACCGGGGAGGCCCCTGGTGGGAAGACTCTAAACTGGAAAGTCATGGTCTCCTTCCTGGCCCCATCACTGCTATTGTTTGGTTGTATGATTTAGCAAGTGGCTTCATTCTAGAACAGTTTGCTTATCTCTATATTAGGGAATGGTCAGTGGATGGCTCTGGCGGGTGTCCCAGAAGAAATTTCCAGGCAATCCAAGGAGAAATGCGAAAAATAGGGACAAAAAACCTAATTGATATTCAAATTCAGGAGTTATATTTCCTTTCGTTGAGTTCGCACATCTAAAATGCTCAATGAGTTCCTAAGCCTTAGTTCTTTAGCTAAGTTCACCAAGAGTTCAGTGAATGTTAGCTGTTGTCTTGTTACTGCTTGTATTTTGGATATTATCTCATCAAATCATCTGGTTCATGACATCCACGGAGCAGACACTCTCCGGGACCACACTGGGTGTTTCTGTGGTCCACGGTGCTGTCGGTGGGTGCGTGTGGGTCCAGAACAGGTAGCTGGTGGGCGGGGTGGGGAGGACCCTGGTTTTATTATTGCTTTTGCTGTCTCCCAGGTCTCACCCCAGCATTCTGCACATTCCTAACCAGCTCTATTACGAAGGGGAGCTGCAGGCCTGCGCCGACCCCATAGACCGAGAGCGCTTCTGCCACTGGGAGGATCTGCCCAAACCGGTGAGGCTGAGCGGGGCAGCTCAGGCGCACACCCCGACCCCCCTCCCTTCCCTTGAACTGAAGATGCTCTGGGGGATGCCGAGCGGAAGCCATGGGCCCTGCCCTTGGTCACCTCAGTCTGGGATCCCACATTCCCTGGGAGGGCTTGGGTGGGAGGGAGGGAGGCTGAGGCATTCCCCCCCCCCCCGCCCATCTTGTTACCCAGGGCTTTCCCATCATCTTCCACGGCGTAATGGGGAAGGATGAGCGTGAAGGCAATAGCCCGTCCTTCTTCAACCCAGAAGAGGTTGCCACAGTGATTTCCTACCTGAAGAAGCTCCTGGTCCCCTCCTCCAAGAAGGGCAAAGCCCGCCTGAGCCCCCGAAATGTGGGCATCATCTCCCCATATCGGAAGCAGGTCAGACCTTGGTTCCTATCAAAGGTGGGGACCCCCTGATGGTACTGCCTTCATAGCCACACCACCAGATGAGCTTCCAGAAGCTCAGGCCTCTGTTGGCCCCAGTTCTCAGAAGAGCATAGGGGTCGGCTGTCCTGCCCTCTTTGCCCCTAGCTTTCTGGCCTCCTGCCTGGCTCCCTCTTGCATTGGGGTAACAGCATGAAGGAAAGGCACCTGTCCCCATCTTCCAGGTGGAAAAAATCCGTTACTGCATCACCAAGGAGCTTCAGGGACTGGATGACATCAAGGACTTGAAGGTGACGCCACTCTTACATTCCCCCTGCTCTGTGCAGAGTCCTCCTCAGGCTCTAGCCCAGCCCATGTCCCCCCACCCTTGTGGCTTCAGATGGAGCTGGGGTTCTCTCCAAGCCTCTCATCCTGAAGGTCCCATCTTGTAGATCTGGGGTGGGTCCAGGAAGTCTAGGTGTTTAGTAGTCACCCTACGTGATCCTTAGGACCCAGCTAGTTGGAGGCCTCTGTCCTAAGGATAAAGTCCAAACTCCAAAGTCACCTGCCCTGTCATGTGATGGGTGTCTGGTCTTCCCCCTCCAGGCTGGCTGCAGATAAGAATCACCTTTCATGGAAACTGCCAGTCGGGGCTCCACCCAACAATTGCTAGGCTATCTGGGGGCAAAGCCTGGGCTGTGGTATTTTTTTTGCAGCCCCTCAGCTGATCTAGGGCACAGCCAGGGCTGAAAACCAGCACTTGCAAATTTAGAGTCCTCTCCCTGGAAATCTGGATCTAGGTGGTCTGGGCTAGGGCCCAGACATTTCTGACGTCATTAGCAAGTATCTTTGAAAGCAGCTGCTCTGGGCTATGTGTTTGCTCTCCTGTCTGCCTTAGAAGTTTCCAGCCCCAGCCCTTCCACTGCCTTCATCTCTGCCTTCAGCAGAGTGGACACTGTGGACACTTACTCCACTGTGACAATTCCCTGGGGATATTATGTTCCCACCCCCACCCCACCCCCAGCAGAAGCTCCCGAGGCAGGGCTGGTCCTCAGGCTTCCTTCTGAGCCCCCAGCTCAGCCTTTTCTCCTCTCTAGGTGGGCTCTGTGGAAGAGTTCCAAGGCCAGGAACGCAGCGTCATCCTCGTGTCCACCGTGCGAAGCAGCCAGAGCTTCGTGCAGCTGGATCTCGACTTTAAACTGGGTTTCCTTAAGAACCCCAAGGTTTGAGGGCTGGCAGGTGGCAGGTGGCAGGGTTTTTCCCTCCTTTGGGGGTCCTTCCCTCTCATGACCCCACCATGTCTTCCTTCCAGAGGTTCAATGTGGCTGTGACCCGGGCCAAGGCCTTGCTCATCGTGGTTGGCAACCCGCGCCTCCTGGGCCACGACCATGACTGGAACGAGTGAGCATCCCCACCCGCCATCCCCCTTGGTGGCCACAACCCCTGGGGAGGGTGGGTGTGTCTGTTAGAGGCCTTGTGGCTCAGTTCTGGTCATCTTCAGTGCCCCCACTTAATAAGTTCCCTGACGGTTGGCTTGCCCCAAGGCCCAGAGCGGCGGGACCAAGCTTTAGGTGCCCACCTCCTGCCTGTGCAACTGTGTGAATGTGCCTGTGTCCCACAGATTCCTGAAGTTCTGTAAAGAAAAAGGGGGTTACACCGGGTGCCCCTTCCCTACCAAACCGGACCTCCAGCAGGGTCAGTACTTACTTCAAGAGCTGAGCAAGCTCAGTGTCTCTACCTCAGGTAGGGTTGGACCAGTGGGGGCAGGAGGGAGGCAGTGCTGGGGAAGGGGCTGAGGAAAGCAAACCTGACTTTCTCTCTCTAGGGCCCGCAAATCATGACTACCTTCCCGCTGAGCAGAGGGGTGAAGGCAGCCTGTACCTGCAAGTGGAGCAAGAGTGGAGGAGCGATCACTGAAGACATGACAGGGACCTTCTCACACCAGCCAAGCCTTAACCCCCCACCCCGAGCCTGACCCCAGCCTGAACCTGCCCCCAGCCCAGCAGCCCTTCAGAGGGACAGAAAGGCTGGGAGAGGGAGTTTACATCCCAAGCCATTCCACCCCCTCCCCTGCTGGGGAGACTGACCCACCAAGCTGCTAACAAATGCAGGGAGAAGAAAAACTCTGAAAACAAAATCTTGTTCTATGCAAAAGTCTTTGTGACTCAGCCTGGCCCAGCTTCCTGAGCTCCCAAGCTGACCCAGACCCCCGTGAGGGCTGTGTCCCTTCCCCACAAGAGGAGAGGCGCCCCCAGGGCCAGGGGAGGAAACCCAGTAGGAGGTGGCAGGGAAGCCACCCACAGGCTTCTAAGTTTAGCCCCTGCACCAGACCACTCCCCTCGCCCGCCTCCCAGGCCTGGAGCCAGGCATGATCTCATCCTTTGCTCCAAGACTCCACCCGGCCTGCCCTGAGTCCTGCCTTTGCAGACAAGGGCCAGCATTGCAGGTGACTTGCAAACAAGGAAAGATGGGGCTCCAGGCTCACAGCCAAGACAGAGACCAGGAGAGAAGGGCCGGAAGCTGTCACACACATTGGAGCTGTGGCCTTTATTCATGGCCCCCACCAAGGACAGCCAGAGGAAAGGCCCTGTCCACACCAGAAACAGGGAGTGGGGGTGGGGGCAGGGGGTTTCTCTCTGGGTTACACCCTCCCAGTCCCCTACCCCAGACCCTCTAGTGAGCCAGAAGTGTATAAAGTGCTGGTGAGTGATGATTCTCTGGGGAAGCCAAAGGGGTCGAGAACCTGGCCATGGCTAGGGAGAAGGGACTCCATCTGGGGGGCGGGGCACAGGCCCAAGTGACCGGAGCACTGGGCGGGGGAAGGACCTACCACACTGTCCTCGGCTGGGGCAACTCAATGCAGTCCTGGGCTGGAGGGAACTGGAAGGAGCCTTTGGCATGAAGCCCTAAGAGGATGAGACTTAGGGAGACGGGTAGTTTCTGCACCCCTGTGAAGGGAGGGAAGTAGGGGAGGCATGGGAGATCTCAGAGGATAGGACAGCCCTTCCGGCGCTTATTCTTGCGGACCTGGAGGCCAGCTCGAGTGGCCATCTCAAATACTTCCCGCACCCCTTCCTTGGTCTTGGCTGAGCACTCGAGGTAGCCAAAGGCACTGATCCGGTTTGCCATGTCCCGGCCTTCCTCAGATCGAACAGGTTCCTGGGAAGGCAGAAGGTGAGAGGTCAAGGGAAGCTGTAGGAGTATCTAGCCTTGATCCAAATCGCCCAGCCATGCAGGGTAGCTTCCTGGCTGACACTTAAAATTCTCAGCCACCCCTATGCTCCATAATCCTTCTCTTGCCTGAATGAGTAGACGCCCTATCTGACCATGCTGCCTCTACTCTCACTTTTTCTAAAAGCCCACCTTGATGAGTCCCACAGCCTAGTCCATAATCCCATCTGGCAGCTTTCTTGAATAACTGGTCCCTGGCTAGAGAGCTATTTAGCTATAACAAATAGGCCAGCTCCCTCCCTCGGGCCCCTCTTCCAGCCACTTCCAATGCTCTCCCACATCTCCATCAGCCTCCCCTGCATGTCCCCTGTGAAATGCCTATTGTGGCAGACATTTCCTGAGGGCAGGGATGTTAATTCCAAACATGGCAGGGGCAATAGATGAAGGGGTTAAAGTGGCAAGTGACTTAGATAAGTCATTTCATATCTGGTAAGTTTCATCAGATAGTGGATCAGACACTAAGGCTCCAGTCTCCCTCAATAGGTAGAGTCCAGGTGAACACCACCATGACTTCCAGCACAGGGCAGTGGCCTGGAGAGGGTTGCGCTCCCAGGCCTCAGCCTTCCAGGGGGCTGCCGGGCAGCCCACGCACCTGCTTCATCTTGGCCAGCTCTCTCCTGGTGTGCTCATCTTGCCTCAGGTCCTTCTTGTTCCCCACCAGGATGATGGGCACGTTGGGGCAGAAGTGCTTCACCTCCGGGGTCCACTTCTCAGGAATGTTTTCTGCACAGACATGGCCCAACAGGTTGGCACCTTCACTTAGATGAGAAAGCTTCCCCCCTACTCCTGAATCTTCCCATAACAGTCTCAGCTACTCACAATTGAGCCTCATCCCTCCCAAGGGCCAGAGTCACTGCCGCAGCTAAGGAGGCTACCAGCTCCCTGGGTCCCTCCCCCACAGCCTCAGCCTCTGATGACCAAAATGGGTCAAGGCAAGACTCGCTCTGTTTGGTTGATATCAAGGGGTTCTTGATGCTGTCCTCCCAGCACCCTCACCCCCAGCTCACCCAGGCTGTCGGGGCTGTCGATGGAGAAACACATGAGGATGACGTCAGTGTCCGGGTAGGAGAGAGGCCTCAGGCGGTCATAGTCTTCCTGGCCCGCTGTGTCCCACAGGGCCAGCTCCACCTGACACACAGGCCGGTGAGTGGCTAGCCCGAGGGCCCTTTCACACACACCCCACACCCTGCCAGGCAGAGGTCCTCACTGAAGCCACCGGTCCTGCGGGTTCACTGAGCATCTCAGCACCTGTTATGCTGGGGGCAGCGCCCTTCAGTCACCCTCATACAACACAAGTTAGGTGAATTTTATAAAAATCCAGAGATGTCAGTGCCTGACCTCTGTGCAGTTCATGAGCTGCCCCTGTGAACTCTGCTTCACTTAAATCACATAAAGACTGTTTGGGAGAGGTCTTATGGGTCGCGTCACTCTCCAACTGGGGGAGCTTAAACTCCGGGGCCCCAGATTACAGAGCCAGAGTGTAAAAGGATCAGGAGGTGGTTCCAGATTTCCTAAGGCTGAGGGTTTACTTCCTAACTTGTACTGGTTCCAGTGGGGAGAGTGGAGCAAGGACGTGGGTAGAAGGTGAGGAAGGACATCCTGGGTCCTTCTGTGACAGGAGCAGGTTCTAAGGCCAGAGGGGCGGGGCCTGCGCCCTCACCTGCTTGCCATCCACCTCTATGTCTGCGATGTAGTTCTCGAAGACGGTGGGGACATAGACCTCCGGGAACTGGTCCTTGCTGAAGACGATGAGGAGGCAGGTCTTCCCACAAGCACCATCCCCCACAATCACCAGCTTCTTTCGGATTGCAGCCATGGCTGGAGCTGGCATGAAAAAGGCAGTGGGATTTTGGGAAAAGCCATGAAATGCAAAAACACTTCTCTTGGTCCCCAAGACCTCCCTGGAAACCGAGGCATCCAGCAAAGGGAGGCCAAGGGGCTTGCTCAGACATGTTCTTGCCAAGAATCAATTGTTCAGGCAACTGAGCTGGAAATTCCTAGTCTTGGGGTCAGGGACATGTCTCCCCGCAATGGGTTAGAGCAGAGAAGCGAGAGGGGGTCAGAAAACATGGGTTCTGATCTAATCCACTCACCAACTGGGGGACCCTGGACCCCTGGAAGATGCTCAGGGATCAGAGAGCCAGCTTTCATTCACTGCATATTCCAAGGTGGCAAAGTCAGATTTCATTTGTTATCAGGATTTTAAAGCTTTTCCAGTTTACTAATCACTAAGGTCCAATCTAGAACACACTGTCCCTCACTCGGCAAGAGTTATGCCTGCTCAGCCGCAAATGAGTAGGCCCTCTCCAGGATCACAGGTGAGCAGACCCAGGTGGGGAGTGGGTAAGGAAAGGGGGGGTTATCCAGTCCCTCGTGACAGGCACTGTGTTGGGTATGTCGACAAAAATCCCCTCCCTCGGTCTGCAGAGCCTGGAGATCGACGGTGAGCTGAGCTTTTCCAGTGTGACTGGCCAGGCTCAGTGAGGTTAAGACGCATTCGGTGGTGGCAAGGAAGCCCTGGGAGCAAGGCTGTGAGAGTGACTCCAGAATCTGATGCCTTTCCTGCATCTCACCCCAGAGGTGGGCACGGAGAGCTAAGGGAGGGAAACCCAGACAGGACAGTGGCAGCAGCCAGCCGGCTTCCCTGGCCCACCCCATCTGGGTCCCCAAAGCCCAAGTCACACAAAGGAGGCTCAGTCCTGGCAGTGCCCACAGCCCACATTCGGGCAGCCTGCCTTCCTCCCCCTTCCTCCTGGGCCTGGCAGCAACACTGGGTCACTCAGCCTCAGGCAGGGGACAATGACCACACTGTAGGAAGTCACACATTCACCCCGGCGGGGCGACCGGGAATAATCCACTAGGGGATCACCTCCACCCACTCTCTGGAACAGCCCCTTCCTCCCGTCCGCCCAGCTCACCGAAGGGCCTCCTCGCTCCTCCCTGTGACTCAGGCCAGGGAGTCAGCTTCCTGTGGCTGCCTGTGTCTCCCACCCCGACACTCATGAGTGTGCATCTGCACAGTCCATTCATCACACCTTCCCAGCTCCCTGCCCCTAAGCAAGGCTGCACTTCCTCCCGGGGTTAGGGGGACGCAGGGGGGCGGGCGATAGAGGAACTGACCTCCAGCCAGCTGAAGTTCCTAGGCCTACAGCCTGGGAGGAAGAGAGGGCAGGCTCTGGAGCTGAGATCAAGTCCAGCCTATAGGGAAAGGGGAGGGGGCCAGAGCACTCGCTGGGAGGAGCTCTCTCCCCCCAAAAAAAGACAAATGAGGGCCAGTCACAGAAACTACCAGACAGGGAGTGGTTAAGAAAGAACGAGATGGTAACCTGATCTCTGCCCCAAACCTGGCTTTTTCTCTCTCACATCCTGTCAAACTGGGCTGAGCTCCTTTACTTCCCACATAGCCCCACCACCTCACCCCTGCCTCGGTCTGCATTTAGGAAACAAACACTCCAGCCCCAAGGCTAGCTCTCTGCAGAGGTGAGATCCTGGGTGGCCCCCTGCGGCACCTCTGTACATACAAACAGTCAGGAATCTGCAGGAGTTGAGAGTACACAGCCACAGTCCCCACCTCACAAGGCATTCACCTTAGTAACCCCCAAAGAGAGGCAAAGTGTGCATTCTGCCAGCAGAGCCCCTCCAAAAATGGAAACCAATCTTCGAAAGGGGGTTCCCTGGGAATTCTAAGGTGACCAGCTCTGCTGACCCACTCCCATCAGGTAGCTTGGTCCAGCTACATGAAAACAGGCTGGAGTGGCCTCAAGCCAGGGTGGGCAGTATTGGTGGAGGGCAGTTCAGGTGGCACTGAAGTGGCACAAGTCAGTGGCAGGCAGCGGCCAGCACTCCCGAACAGGGACATGTATTAAGTGACTTGGGGTCCCCAGATCAATCCGAAGACTCCCTGGAGGCTCTGGTTGGGCCAGAAGAGGAGCTGGCCCAGGCCAGGACACTAGGCCCAAAGCCAAGCTAACAAGACAACAACAGATCCCCAGGAGAGCCGGCCCCAGAGGCACCGTCCCACTGACCCCGGAGGGGAAACCAAACCCCACACGGGCCTGGAATGGGGCCGGGAACTCCGGGGCCTTTCCTGAAACGAGGCATCTGCCGCTCCTCAGCCTCTCTCCAGACTCCCAGGGCCCTGCGCCCCGCAGACCACCCCCGCGCGCTAAGGAAGGACCCGGAGGCCAAATCCTCGACTTTAAAGCCAAAACTGGGGGCAGGACGCCGGCCCAACCCCCCGGATCATCTTGGAAGGGAAGAGTCTGACACTTGCTCGGGCTCACAAAGACGCTGGAGCCTTCCTGACCGCCCAGCTCCCTCCCCGGCGGCTCCAGGAGCCCTCCCGGGCGGCGTCCAGGCGTCCCGCCCCGGCGAGCGGCAGCCCCCGCCGGTCCCCCCCGGCCCCCTCCCGCCAGGCGCCCACCGTCCCGGCCCGGTCCACTCCCGGGCTGAGCCGGGGCCCCGCGCCCACGTCCACGGGGGCCGCGGGCCCGGGAGGCAGCGCGTCGGGGCCGGCAGGGTCAGGGGCGCCGGCGCCGCAGCCCAGGGAGTGGCCGAGCGCGCCCGACCCCGCGGCCCAGACGCCGCGTCCAGGCCCGGGAGGGAGGGGCCGCCCCGCCGGGGCCCCGGCCGGGACACAGCGTCTCCCCCGAGGGGTCCCGGGACGCCCCGCCGCCCCCCGCGCGCCCCGGTACCTTCCACTCGGCGCGTCCAGCTGCGCGGCGGCGCCCGGGGCAGAGACTGACCGGAGGGGCCGCCCCGCCTCCGTCGGCGCCGCGGCGCGAGGGGAGGACCTTGGGGGGCGGGCCGGGGGCGGCCCTTGGCTCCGCCCGACCCCCGCCCTCGCCTGGGGCGCCCCGCCGCCCGCCGGGAATCCGGGGTGCCGGCCTCGCCGCCGGGGAGAGCCGCCCGGCGGGCACCGGCTGGAGCAGTGGGCAGTGGACGGGCCGAACCCCGAGGACTCGGCGCCCGCCCCTCCCTCCTGCGCCCGGGGGCGGGACGGCCTCGGGAAAGTTGCGAGGCGCGCGGGGTGGGGTCGGGGAAGGCCACGGGTGCCCCCCGGTGGCCGACGCGTCCCCCGCGCTCACCCCACCTGGACTTGGCCCGAGGCGGGGCTGGGAAAAGGCGGCCCCCCGAAACCCGAGGGGGCGCGGAAGATGCTCCCCCTTTGCTGCAAAAGGCTTTGCGGTGTAAGTTCAGCCGACGCCGCTCCCCCAGCCTGGAAGACGCTCAGAGCCTTCAGAGCCAGGCCACATCCCACCGCCCCATTCCTCGCTGCCCTTGCCTGGGGTGTGGGAGTCCAGCTTCTAGCTGCCCCTCAAAGGACACTCTTGAAAATCCTTCCCGATCCTGGGCGGGGAATGCGCTTCCCCGCTGTATTATTTCTGTGCTGCTAGGGACACAGCCCTGGGTGACCTGTGGCCTTGGCTAGTTGCCTACAGGTGTGTCTCCTTTCCTTAAGGTGGCTCAGAGGGGGAGGGTGATGGAGGAAGTCTACCACATTTTGGTAACTTGTGTGGCTTACACTACATAGTTCAGCCCTTTTAATACTAATCCCGATTCTTTGGGTTAAGTACACACATCCCTTTTTGCCTGGAAGGAAGCTGAGCCTCAGGTTAGGTGGCTCGCCCAGTTTTTTCCCCATTTGTATAGAACAGCAGGAATTCAAGTCAGGCCAGCCTAGCTGCAAAGCCACCTGTGCTCCCACTACCTGGCCCTTCCTTGCCTCTAATACAGTGTGTGGCACAGGATAGATTTTCAAAAAATATTTGCTGAATAATAGGAGTCAGGTAGATTTTTTTTTTTTAAAGATTTACTTTTATACAAGAGCTGGGGTACAGGCCAGAGGCGCAGGAGGGTGAGAGGATTCACCAGAGACAGAGCAGGGAGCAGGACAGGCAGATGACAGAAATACGCTGCTGAGGGGAGCAGCGGGCGAGGCAGGAGAAGTCTGCCATCCATGTGGGATTCTCACAGGCCAGCCAGATGGAACCCGCACTGCAGAGGCTGCAGACAGCTTCACAGCGCGGTGCTCAGCCTGCTGCGCCACCAGGGAGGCCCTAGATATTAAGATAGATTTTAAAGGTAGATTTTAAAGATCTTAAGTGCAACCCACACATTTGATAAATGAGGAAGTGAGGTCCAGAGGCTTTAGGTCTCCGGGCCTTTTAACTTGCTCGGTTAAGATTTATTGTGAAGGGCCTCCCTGGTGGCACAAGATGTTGAGAACCCCACTGTGACGCAATCCACAGCTTCTGCAGCACGAGTTCGATCCCCGGCCGGCCAGGGAGCAATCCACATGGCACAGCAGACCTTTCCTGTCTTTCCCGCTGCTCCCCTCAGTAGTGTATCTCAGTCAGTCTGCCTGTTCTGTTCCCCACTCTGTCTCTGGTGAATCTTCTCACCCCCAGTGTCTCTGGCCTGTACCCCAGCTCTTGTGCGCATAAATACATAAATCTTTAAAAAAAAATTTATTGTGAACTGAGAGCTCTGTGCTCAGATCAGGTTGACTCCTGCCTCCAGAGGTTTACAGTTTAAATTTGGAAAACAGACAACTTGAAGTTATTATTATTTTTTAGATTTTATTTATTTTTGCATAGAAGAGCTGGGGTCTAGGTCAGAGGTTTGGGGAGGTGATGGTGGGGGGATTCACCCCCCCCATGAGAGGATTCACTAGAGACAGAGTGGGGTGCAGAACAGCTGATCTACTGAAAAATATTGCTGAGGGGAGCAGCAGGAGAGACAGGAGAGGCCTGCTGCACCATATGAGTCAGCTCCCTGGTGAGGTGGGTGGAGGATCAAACTTAGGTCACCATAGAGATGACAGAGCCGAGACTTTATCCCTAGGCCACCAGGAGGCCCAAGATAGCTGTTATTGAACACTTTTTACATGGCCCTGGTTTTTCATACTCTAACAGGGGGGTCCCCAGGAAAGGGGGAGGTTCCAGGTTTCCTGCCTCACCCAAGGGAGGGTGGAGCTGAGCAGGGAAAGAGGAAGCTGCAGAAGGGATGGAGGAAGGAAGGAAGCAGGATGAAGAGCCAGAAGGAGACCTGGAGGAGGCACATGGAGCAGAGAGACACATGAAGAAACTGTACTTGCCTTTTGGTCGTGGACTGGGTGACACAGATGTGGGTGAGACCCGTGGGGAGTGACAATGATGGTTTTTGTCTTGATTTTGATTTTGCTCTTTTCCTTCCAGACTTGTCTGGTTGTTTCTGATCCTTTTCTGTGGGCCCCCTCCAGAAGGTGCTTTAGACTTGTGGCAGGCTTTGGGGCCTTGCTCTGGGCCAATCCCACTTGGGTGGACTTTTACCCACAAGGGGATGGGTAGCTTTGGGTGCTTGATTAGAAACTATGTTATTTGCCTTTCCTGTATTGTTTATCGATTGTATTAAAAGTTCCTTCCCATTAAAGTCTCATATGTTTTGTGTTGATGCGGCGGATGGCAGAACCTATTTAGAGCAGGCAGGTTTGCGGGGTCTGGGCTGCCCCTCTCCCTGCCCTGTAACACTATCTGAACTACTTTCATCCTTACAACCACCTTACCAGGTAGTTCCTGGTAGTACCTTACCTCCATTTCACTGAAAAACAAACTCAGGGCTAGTGTTTCTGGCACCAGAACCCACTCCCAACAGAAGTCTAGAGCCCTGCTTTTAACCGCGGCTCCACACCTCTAATATAAACAGTGATACCACAGGAGGCTGTGCTGAGGGAGGGCAGCCACGGGCTGTGGGATCCCAGCCCAGAACAGGTAAAATGTTGAGAAAGGTGGTGTGTAGATTTAAAATGAAGTGCAACTAGGGCCTCCCCGGTGGCGCAGCGGTTGAGCGCTGGGTTGCGAAGCTGCCCGCGGCCTCTGCGGCGCCGGTTCCATCCCCGGCTGCTCCCCGGCCACCGGAGGAGGGTCCCACATGGCGCGCAGACCTCTCCTGCCGCCCGCTGCTCCCCTCAGCAGTGTACTTCGGTCCTTCTGCCTGCTCTGCTCCCCGCTCTGGCTCTGGTGAATTCTCTCACCTCCCACGCTTCTGATTGTACCCAGTGCTTGTATAAATAAATAAATAAACCTTTTAAAAAAAAAAAAAAAGAAGTGCAACTATAGGCCCAGAGTTACGGGGATCCCAGGAGGCTGGTGGTGGTGAGGATGGTGAAATATGGGGCTGGGGAAGGAAGCAGTGGCCAAATGACACAGGTCCTTCCAGGCTGCACCCGAGTGTCGATTTTGGCCTGAGGAGCCACTAGTGTCCTTAGGGGAGTAACCAACAGAGGTCCATGCTGTGGCAGGTCACCTTGCTGTCCTGTCCCTAGTATATCAGGGGAAACAGGAGCATGATGTGGAGACCGTTAGGAAATGATATAGTAAAAAACTAAGGTAGGGACAGTGGGGGTGGAGATAAGTGGACAAAGAGGAAATATATTTTATAATCTATAATTAACAGTACTTGGTGATGGATTGGCTTGATGAGGATGAAACAGAAAGCAAAGGTGACCGACCAGCTACAGATTTCTAAGGAGCAGTGAGCTGGTGCCCACCAGGATGATAAGCCAGGGGGACATGCATATGGGGGACACGATGAATTCAGCTTGAGGTAGTTGCGTTGAAGTGGGATGTCTAGGAGATGTTCAAGAGACAGCTAGATAAGTGGCTTTACGGCACAGGAGAGGTCTTAGAGATCCTGCTTTGGAGGACACCGGGGATTGGATCACAGAAGTGGGCCAGAGTGCATGGAGTGGGAGGGACAGAGGCAGAAGGAAAAACCTGGATAATGCTCCAATAGGGCTGTTCTGGTGTTCTCTCCACCCACCTCCCCGCCCGAAGAATTTTTCCTTACCTTTTGGTTTCTAGGCACAGTAAATAGACACACACCTTTATCCACCTGGTTTATTGGCAAATAGCAGTAAGTTTGGGATGTGACACCCTTCTTCAGTCAGATTGCTGCTAAAGAAGGTCAGGGAGACATCTTCAGAGTGTGGGTTGGAGGAGGGGGGCATGGAAAGTTAGGGATGGTGGTGGGAGGGCTGGGGCCGAACCCTCTCAGGAGTAACTGCCTGGCCCTCCCAGGGGGATGATGAAGACTGAGATGTCATCCCCGGAACCCAGCTTGTTGTTGGGGAGACGCCAACCACGATCCCGGGGGGTGCCCCGGGCGCCCAGGACCAGAGCTTGGGCCAGAGCCGTGTACCTGCCAGGAGCACACGTGCACACTCAGGTACCAACACATATGGGGAAGGTAGAGAAACAGGCCCTCACGTGATTCCCAAGCACTCTGCCCTCGTCCCTTCCCCTCGTCATCCCCTTGCCGCCATAGGACCCCTACCTGCTGGGGTCATTGGGCTCATAGGCTGAGAGCACCCTGTCCACAGTGGCGGCTACCTCACAGTCAGTGGTGACATCCCACAGGCCATCCGTCCCCAGCACCAGCACGTCATCTGGGCAGTGCTCATACTGTGTCAGGTCATACACCTGCACCTGGTGGGAATGAGGGTGGAGAGGTTGCTGAGGTGAAGGGGCCCTGGAAGAAAGCCAGCTTGAGTCCCCCCAGAGGGAAGGCATGGTTAAGGAGGCTCCTGTTTGGCTCACCTCTGGGAAGCAAGAGAGGAAGGGCTTGATGGGCAGGGTGGAGCTGCAGACCTTGAGCTTGTGGTCACCCAAGCCCCGAGTCACTCCAATGGTGGCCATCACTCGAGCCTAAGGGAAAAAAGGAGGTGCCACTACAGCACTCTCCCGGGCCCTGAGAATATGGACCCCCACCCCTACCCTCTG